CATTTTATCTTTTGTTTGTTTTTTAAAATTTTATTATTTTCTAAAGTTAACATCTTTTTCAGTAACCTCTACACCCAACATGGGACTTGAACTCATAACCCGAAGATCAAGAGTCACATGCTCTCCCAACTGAGCCAGCCAGGTTCCAGTGTTCACTTTATCTTCTAAACTTTGCTTGTGTCAGTCTGCTTCTCTCCATAGCTTGGAGATCATTGGTGACTTTACCTCTTTTAGTGGAATGGGAGGGGCAGAAATTAGACTGATGTGGGTTGATGCTTGGTGGGTAGGAAGCATGTAAAAGGAGACAGCAAATATAGACAACTCCTTTGAAAACTTTAGGCAAAGATGGTATCCTTCTTTCCTTTCATTCCCATCCCCAGCTTTAGCCCAGCCATGCCCCTGGGTCAGAGAACTGCTGGTACCAGTAAACAGAGCATGAGAGACCTACTGCAGAGCTTTCACAGGATGAACTAGCAGAGAAACACCCACAGGTGGGGATATGAAAGACTGTGTGTGCTGGGAGGTGGGAGGTTCCTTGTAATATTATAAAACTAATACGACAAGGCATGCATCTGGACAGATACAATAACCTCTACTGATTTCCATCCACCCCTGCTCTCCTCCAACCAGTTCTCCATACAGCAGCTAGGGATCTTTTCAAATGTAAATCTAATCATACTTCAGCTCTTTTGTTCCCACCTTAACCCTGGAACTGCCTTCCCACTGCTCTTAAGATAAAGGTAGGGGTGATTGGGTGGCTCAGTTGGTTGAGCACCCTCTTGATTTCAGCTCAGGTCATGATCTCAGGATCTTGAGATCAAGCCCTAGGTTGGGCTCTGTGCTGGGTGTGGAGCCTGCTTAGGATTCTCCCTCTGCCCTGCTCCTGCACTCTCTCCAAAAAAATAAAAATTAAAAAAGAAACAAATAAACAAAGTTTATCTTAAAAAAAAAAAAAGAAGATAAAGGTAAAAAATCTCTTGGCAGCCAACAGGGCATTAAATGATCAGGCTCCTGCCTTCCTCATCAGTTTTTCCTCCCTGACTCTCTTCATTCCTGCTTTGTACCACAGCCACTTGAGACTTCCTTTGATTCTTCAAACACATTATGGCCTTTCTTATAACAAGATACTGGATATGCTGTCCCCTCGGACTGAAATGTTCCCAATCTGTCTTTGCTTAGTTAACTCCTAGCTCAAATGTCACTTTTTTTTTTTTTTAAGATTTTATTTATTTATTTGACAGAGAGAGACACAGCAAGAGGGAGAACACAAGCAGGGGGAGTGGGAGAGGGAGAAGCAGGCTTCCTGCAGAGCAGGGAGCCCAATGCGGGGCTCCATCCCAGGACCCTGGGATCATGACCTGAGCCGAAGGCAGACGCTTAACGACCGAGCCACCCAGGCGCCCCTCAAATGTCACTTCTTCAGGGAGGTCTTCATTACTCTCCAAGACCAGTTAAGATGTCTGTTGTACTCTCTCATAATATTCTGTCCTTTTCCTTCCTAGTCCTTGTCACAGTTTGTGATTATGTATTTGTCGTTGTGATTATTTGATTGTCTGCCATCTCTAACAGACTGGAAGCTCTAGAAGGACAGGAACCATGTCTCTTTTCATACCACAGTAACCTCAACCATGAGAGCATAGTGCCTGGTAATTAGTACTGTGTATGTATGTGTGTGCATGTGTATGATTGGTCAAGTGTCTGGATATGCAGAGCAATGCAGACCTGTACTGTGGTGACCCCATAAGGAGACACCACAACAAGTGGCTGTCAGAGCAGCCCATCTGCTTCCCTCAAGGATCTCTCTCTGGTTGGGCCACTGTCAACTGCAACTTATAATAGGATATACCACCTACTTGGTTGGTTTCTGAATCATCTGAATCCACCCTTACTCAGCAATGTGGACTATCAACTCTCAGGGACAGAGAGAACAACCTCAGAATAATTACCATTTATGCATTTGACCAATATTTATTCTATGCCTACCCCCACTGTATTCAAGCACTGTGCTGGGATGGGGAAACACAGAGGAATGAGGCCTGGTTATTATTCTCAAGGAATTGATAGTTTTGATGCACAGTCAAATATGTAAACAAATTATAACTTCCTGTTTTAAAACACTAATATTACAAGGCACGCTCAAAGTTTTAAAGGATCATAGGGAAGAGACTGATTATCAAAGCACTTAGCAAAACCCCCTAGCTAGAAAAAGTGCTGTTAATGATGACCCAGGGGACACACTTTTCAAACATTCTAAGTTCTAACTTTGGACCACTTTAGACCACAGAAAACAATTTACACATTAGACAAGCCCCTTAAAAAATAGTCATCACTAGGTTACTTTTATGTCTTTGGCTTTTGTTGAGCATAATAAGAAATATCTATATGAATTTAGCTTTTGCATTTGTTGTTCAAATCTTTTTTTTTTTTTTTAAAGATTTTATTTATTTATTTGACACACAGAGAGAAAGCACAAGTAGGCAGAGAGGCAGGCAGAGAGAGAGGCAGAAGCAGGCTCTCCACTGAGCAGGGAGCCCGATGCAGGACTCGATCCCGGGACTCCAGGATCATGACCTGAGCCGAAGGCAGTCGCTTAACCAACTGAGCCACCCAGGCGCCCTGTTGTTCAAATCTTTTTGATTGCTTTGTTATATCATTCACTGGTTCCTAATAAAGTCACATGAGCAACTACCTTTAGAATTAGCATTTTTACCTATGGAAAAAAATGTATGGTCTGTCTTCTCTGATGCACTAATTCCTTTTAGATACCATGTACTATTAAAAAAAAAAAAAAAGATGCCAGGCGCCTGGGTGGCTGGGTCACTTGGGTGTCTGCCTTTGGCTCAGGTCGTTAACCCGGGGGTTCTGGGATCGAGTCCCGTGTGGGGCTCTCTGCTCAGCAGGGAGCCTGCTTGTCCCTCTACCTTTGCCTGCTGCTCTGCCTACTTGTGTTCTCTTTCTGTCAAATAAAATCTTTTTTTAAAAAAAGGATGCCATATACTATGTTTTAATTTTTGCCCTGGCAACCAGGAAGCTCAGAACTGTTTCAAATTCAGTCACAGACATATTTAACTTTAGGATAATTGTGATATCTTTTTAGTTTGGCCCTCATATTCTATTTCTAGCTTACTAGCCTATTGTAAACCTTACTTATGTCCTAATGAAAAAGAGATGGGATAAAATAAATTTGACATCAGTATGTTTAGTCATCTTAGAATTATTTCTGTTATTTGTCAAAGATAAGTACAGGGGTGCCTGGGTGACTCAGTCGGTTAAGCAGCTGCCTTCAGCTCAGGTGGTGGTCCTGGGGTCCTGGGATCCAGCCCCATGTCGGGCTCCCTGTTCAATGGGGAGACAGCTTGTCCCTCTCCCTCTGCCTCTTGTGCGTTCTCTCTCTCTCTCTCCCTTTCTCTCTCTGTATCTCAAATAAAGAAATGAAATCTTTAAAAAAAAAAAAAAGATAAAAAAAACTTGACCTGTGATCTGATCTTTATAAAATCTGGAGAAATTAGGGAAGATCCAGAGAAAAGCAACAGAAAAGGGACAAGGAATGGGACTGAGGTAGTATGACCATATTTTCCAACTCAACTATTGGGGCACGCTGATCTGGGATATGGCCTATTAGAGAAGAGTATCTGAAACTTGCACTGTACTGGAAACCCCCAGAACTATGTTGAAGCAGACAGATCCCAGGAGGAATGGCCATTATTCAATGTATATGAATAGTTATAGAAAGGTTTTAACCTTTTTTGGATCACAGATTCTTTGGTGGTCCGTTTGAAAGCATTTGACCTGTTTCTCAGTAATACATAAGCACATACAGTTTCTGGAAGTGGAACCCTCCTGTTATCTATGTATCTTTCCAGATTTATCAAAGGCATTTTACATCTGTCCCTGCTGTAAAGAATTCTCATAGACCCGAGGAAGCACTGAGCTGCCAGGTCAGAGGCGGAGACTGGCAATCAGTTACCTGTTTAAGTCCTTAACACTCTGACACCATTCCAGGGTGATTTAAGCCAGTGGGTTTTGTGTTTAACTATTGTGAGTAGCAGACCCCTTTGATGAGCTGCTGAAGATATGGGTCATCTTTCCCAAGATACATATACACAATTGTGCACACAATTTCATGGTGTTGGTGGACTTCCTAAAGTCCATACTCAGATCTCAGGTTATGCTTAAGTGAAGACTTCCCTGGACTCGGGAATGCCCTTGAAGACCTTTTAGAATGCCCTTCTCTTCCACTACGGGGACTAGAGCGGCCTAGATCGGAGGTTTACCGGACCCAGAGACACCCGACCCCCGCGCCCTCTCAACCGGCCTCTCTGAGCTCGCCCCTCCCCCACGCCACTGCCGCGCAGGTGCGAAAACCTAAGGGGCCACCCCGGCGCGAAGGCTCGAGGAACTGGGGGGACCCGGGGTGGGGGGTGGGGGATGATGGGACCCCGGGAGGGGCGGAGGCGGGGGTGGGGGCCTTCCCGAGGTTGCCTGGAGACCAACTCTCCGCCCAGACTGTTCCATTTCCTCAGCGGGGGGCGCCGCGGACCGGAACGTGGCTGACCGGCCTCCCAGAGCGGCCCTCTTCCGGCTTCTCCCCCTCTGCCTGGCGGTGGCCAGGGCCCGTGACGTCACAGGAGGCGGGGCCAGAGCCGCTGCCGGGTGCTGGAGGCGCCATTGGAGCCGGCTAGGCTTGCGAGCTCCGCTGAGGAGCTGGAGGTTGGGCCGCAGTTACCTCCGCGTCCGCTCCTGGTCCCTGGCCCCTCGGCGGCATGGCGTGCGGGGCGACGTTGAAGCGGCCCATGGAGTTCGAGGCGGCGCTGCTGAGCCCTGGTTCCCCGAAGCGGCGGCGCTGCGCCCCTTTGCCCGGCCCCACTCCGGGCCTCAGGCCCCCGGACGCCGAGCCGCCGCCACTTCTCCAGACGCAGACCCCACCGCCGACTCTGCAGCAGCCCGCCCCGCCCGGCAGCGAGCGGCGCCTTCCAACACCGGGTAACCTATGCTGCGGGCCTGGCAGGAAGCCAGGCCCAGGCATTTTGGGGGGTGGGGGTGGGGCGGCTCTGGGCGCTCGGCTGTTTCACCCACAGACCCCTTCTTTGCCCTGAGAAACGGGAACTGGGGTGCCGCTGGGCCTTGTCGCTTCCGGGGATGGGAGATATCCGGGAGGGATGGGGGGGCCCCAGTGTCCGTTTTCGGTTTTCCTGGAGCTGGAGAGACTGGAGGGGTGGGCAGCAAGAGGAAGATGAGACTATCCCTGGTCGCTCGGGGCCCTTCCCGTGCGCGAAGCCCCTCCTGCCTCCGCTGCCCGGGCCTGCACAGAGCCGCCCAGCAGATCCAGTGGGCCATGGAAAATGGGATTCTACTCACGAACCCGGCCTTGAAGGTGGGGGTTGGGGGCGGGTTCCTGGGAAGGGGCCTGAGTGCGTGCTGTTCACTCTACTGTAGCTTGGAGGGAGACCTGATTTCCAGAAGTCTTTAGGGACCAGAGGCCGTCGCAGAAGTCATAGAATCCGATTTCAACCTATTTCCAAGGGACTGGCCATGTTCTTTTATTGTATGGCTATTGTCTTGTACCATATATAGCTTGAAATTGGTAGGTCGTTAGCTAGAATTTATTTGAGAATCCTTAAACATACAGAGGTTCCGGAAGCAGGAGTTCCATCTATCCATAACAGAGATTCTTTCAGTAAGGGTTACACACTGGTCAAGGAAAGGGGGGAGTTAGTGTGACTGTAAAGTTAGGACAACCCCCGCCCCCCGCCCGCGCCAACCATTGTGCAGGAATAGAGGGGAAAGTGCATCACAATTAATATGTAACAGTTTTAAAGGGCTCCTGGAAATGGGGGAGGGTCCTCAAAACTGGACTTCGGCGAGTTATTTCTTTGTGTTTTTCTATTCCTCAAGCGTAAGTGAAACCTTAGGACTGCCTTAAAATTCTTTTCCTCATCCCTTTTAAGTTACCAGTGCCTTTGGGCTTTATTTCCTTTTTCCTCTGCATATCCATAATGCAGATTTCAGGCCCTCATACTCTCTCGCACAGAGATTCCTGCAGTTGCCAGCCATGCTCTCCCACTCTTTCTCATGTTCACCTCTTCTTTATTCTGGTATTCAAAGGACTTATCAGCTATAACCATATGTCTTCCTTAGTCTTTTACACATTTTTTCCCCCAGACTATGCTTTTGCTGCTCTTTCTCCAGACCCACCTGGGTGTGCCTGTTATCCTTGCCTTCCATCATGATATTTTCCCCTTGTATTTGCTAGTACAAATACAGTCATTTTTGCAAGTCTCCTATCCATTACCTGACTAACCCTGCCCCATAAGGAACTCTGTTCTACTTCAAATTCCCTGACCACTTAATGTTGCAAAGCCTTATGTACTGAATGAGATAATGTTTGCAAAAGTTTTTTGTAAAGAGCTCTTCAAAAGCAGGGGACAGGGGCGCCTGGATGGCCCAGTCAGTTAAGCATCAGGGTCTTGATCCCAGGGTCCTGAGTTCAAGCCCCATGTTGAGCTCCATGCTAAGCATGGAGCCTATTTAGAAAAAAAAAAGAAAAGAAAAACGGGACAAAATGCCCACTTGAAGTGATATCTTTTTTTCTGTTCCTACAGATACCAAGGATAGTCATATAATCTTTCTGGATCTCTCTTCTGCAAAATAGAATTAATACTTGCCCTGTCTATCTTGATTGATTTTATGCATATGTTTTATTTCTTCCAACAATATCCTGTAAACTAATTTTGTTATAGTTCACATTACAGCAAATGTTTGATAAATAATTGTTGAATGTGTTTGGAAGCCTCAGTATTGCAGAGTGCAGTAATGGGAGTCCCTATTTTAAATTTTAATTTTCGTATAGATCATGCAAACTACCTTCTTCTTGGTCATTTATATTAGAATATTTTATTTAGGGCACCTGGGTGGCTCAGTTGGTTAGGCGACTGCCTTCGGCTCAGGTCATGATCCTGGAGTCCCTGGATCAAGTCCCGCATTGGGCTCCCTGCTCGGCAGGGAGTCTGCTTCTCCCTCTGACCCTCCCCCCTCTCATGTGCTCTCTCTCATTCTCTCTGTCTCAAATAAATAAAATCTTTAAAATATATATATATATTTTATTTAAAATATTCATTTGTAAAGATTGATCAGTTAAACTCCTAAATGCTTATTGCAATATGGTTCTGTCAAGAAAGAAACATAAAGTATGAATGATTATATGATGCTTTGGCTTAAGTGAAAGCAATGTCTTTTGGATTAAAAAGGAGGAATGGGGGAGGAAATGTTAGTTGCTTTACAAATAGAAAGAATAAAGCTAACTAATAGAAAAGTGAATTTAAAAATCAGTGATTTCATTTTATAACATCATAATTGTTACCTCAAAGGTTATGAAGTTCTCTCAGAAATGGTCAAGAAACTATGTTTTTACTTCACTTTATAAAAATGTGTCATAGCACTTTTTATCGAAAAGGCATATAAAATTAAGCCTTTTATTGCTTAAAAGAGCTAAGTTGATACCAGGCATAGGAGGGTGTTGCTGACCTGAGGGAGCTGTTTGTAAACATGGAGTGAGTCCAGGTGTAAAGCGATTAATTGATCATGACTTGTGGCTTGGTGAGTAACATCCAGATTGAGGTAGCATTTTAGCTAGGTCTTCAATGACGGTGAAGGAAGAAAGATAGCCACATTTCAAGCAAAGGAAAACTGCTTGAACAAAGCCCTGAAAATGCACAAATTAAGGAAAGGATAATGTAATGTAACTATATATAATGGGCTATAATGGGAGTTGGAACTGGAAACAATTTGGGGCCAAGTCTTGGAAGACATGGAATGCCATGTTGAAGAGTTTAAATTTTTTTTTAAGATTTTATTTCTTTATTTGAGAGAGCACAAGCTGAGGAGAGAGAAGAGGCAGAGGGAGAGGGAGAAGCAGACTCCCTGCTGAGCATGGAGCCTGATGCAGGGCTCAGTTCCAGGACCCTGGGATCATGGCCTGAGCAGAAGGCAGACACTTAACTGACTGAGCCACTGAGCCACCCAGGCGCCCCGAAGAGTTTGAATTTTGGAAGAAAAAAAAAGTTTGAATTTTGGTCTGGAACGCTAGGAACCATTGTAGAATTTGGAGGATAGGCTTAGTCTGATATAACCCAGAAGCACAATGTCAAATAATAATGGGATGCAAAGATGAAAGTTATCATCCACTGTCAAAAAGAAATTTGCATTTTTTTTTTTAAGTGGCCTTCTTGGAGAGAAAATCACATGTACTTCCTTTTTCTTTTTCTTTTTTTTTTTAAGATTTTATTTATTTGCGAGAGAGAGAATGAGAGACAGAGAGCATGAGAGGGAGGAGGGTCAGAGGGAGAAGCAGACTCCCTGCTGAGCAGGGAGCCCGATGTGGGACTCGATCCCGGGACTCCAGGATCATGACCTGAGCCGAAGGCAGTCGCTTAACCAACTGAGCCACCCAGGCGCCCCTACTTCCTTATTTTTCTACTGTGCATGCCATGTTTAGATTCTTGGACTTGCTTGTCCTTTAACCAGCCTAAAAGTTGTATCTTTCCATTTGTTCATTTCACCATACAGGAGGCAGTTAGAGGTTTATCAAAGACCTTCTGTTCTCATGAGCATTGTCCTCATACTTGTCCTTTCTTGTTTCAAGTCATTGCAGTTCCTTGCATCCTTATATTGAATCTGGCAGGTATATGCATAGTGAATAATACATTTTAAAGATGAAGCGAAGACTTCATAAATTCAGGGATCTTAAAATATGAACTTCATAGCATTTTTAAGGGAAAGCCTTGCTAATCCTACATTGTTTGTGTGTTTGGGCTGAGTGTTAGCAAATTTAGTTATGTGTGAGATACTGTGAGTTTGTGTTAGTTCCTAGGCTGTACTGTCACTTGTTTTCAAAACTTCATTGGGTAGGCAGTAAACATTTATATTGAAGAAGTACGCTAAAGATCCTGAAAGATTTTCCAAGGTCATAGTCACACAGCTAGGAAGAAGCAAGTGGCATTATTAACACTCAACCCCATTTAAAAAATACGATTATAGCAAAGGATACATTAGAATAATGTGAGAAGGGTGGTGATCTGTTCTGGGTTTTATTTATTTATTTATTTATTTATTTATTTATTTATTTATTTAAAGATTTTATTTATTTGCGAGAGAGAGAATGAGAGACAGAGAGCATGAGAGGGAGGAGGGTCAGAGGGAGAAGCAGACTCCCTGCTGAGCAGGGAGCCCGATGTGGGACTCGATCCCGGGACTCCAGGATCATGACCTGAGCCGAAGGCAGTCGCTTAACCAACTGAGCCACCCAGGCGCCCCTCCTGGGTTTTATTTTTGATAAGGAGGCTTTATTATCTGGAAAGTAGATACATATTCTACCACAAAAATGAAAAACTTGAAAACCACATCCTTTCAGACTGTGTTGTCTCTAGGAATGTACTTCAAAGTGAATTTGTGTGTCCTGGACTCCCTTCAATAGCATTAGCAAATTTGGTTTATGATTACTTTGACTCAGAATAGTAATCTGAGTTATATCAAGTATTGGCTCTCAGTAGGATCAGAAAGTTCTTTTCTAAGCCCTGATCATTGGTTCCAAGCAATAAATCTCGGGTGTCCCCATGGTCTGTGTCCAGGAGGTGACCATATTGTGGTTTCTGCTGTCCTCTACCACAAAGATCTTGAGTTCCAAATGGGACAAGAGCTTCATTTTTAGAAGGCCTTGGGTGCTAAGAGAATCACCCCAGTACACTAGTTTGTAAAACTGTGCAGCTTAACACAGATCAAAGATAGCTCCTTATTAGGTGAAAGATGAGTTTTTTGTTTTGCTGTAAGTTGTACTAGTTAATCCTAAAGGAAACTGTGGTCTTCACTGTCACAGGAAAACGAGCAAAGGGAACTGTCAGGAGGGCTTATGCTAAAATAGCTGCTCTTCCATGCATTGTTGAAATAGTAATAAGGAATACTTTGGGGGGTTATATGAGGAGTGCTTTATTCAGAATAAACATTTTTCTTGCTAATATTAATAACATGAGGTAAGGGACAAGAAGTTTGAAGAAATGGCACAATAAAGTGAATGCTCAAATGTGTTTCTTTTTTTTATTAGAACAAATTTTTCAGAACATAAAACAAGAATATAGTCGTTATCAGAGGTGGAGACATTTAGAAGTTGTTCTTAATCAGAGTGAAGCTTGTACTTCGGAAAGTCAGCCTCATTCCTCAGCACTCACAGCACCTAGTTCTCCAGGTAAGCAAACATTAGTGTGGACAGACCAACCATTTAAGAGTTTGTAAGTGGTACACTGTGATGAACCTTGGGTGTTGTATGTAAGTGATGAATCACTAAATTCTGCACCTGAAACTAATATTACACTGTATGTTAACTAACTGGAATTTAAATAAAAAATTGGAAAAGGAAAAAAGAGGGGCGCCTGGGTGGCTCAGTCGTTAAGCGTCTGCCTTCGGCTCAGGTCATGGTCCCAGGGTCCTGGGATCGAGTCCCGCATCAGGCTCCCTGCTCGGTAGGAAGCTTGCTTCTCCCTCTCCCACTCCCCCTGCTTGTGTTCCCTCTCTCGCTGTCTCTCTCTCTGTCAAATAAACAAATAAAAATCTTTAAAAAAAAAAAAAAAGGAAAAAAGAGTTTGTAAATGGTTCTTAAAATGATGGTTTCCTAATCCAGAATTGATTTCATCTAAAGTAATAAAATTGGTAAAATGTATGCATTATATCACTACTTGTAAATACTTTTCAAACCATAGAGTCATGAAATTGGGAAAAAACCTTAGGTTGATGTGATTTGGCTTCCATCCACCCAGTGTAGAAGTACCCTCTGTAACTGCAGTGTCTAATATCTTAGCCATTACATGAGCCACATGTGGCGTTTAAGTTAATTAAAATTTAATGAAATTTTAACATTTAGTTTCTTGGGTGCAGTAGCCACATTGCAAGTGCTTAGTTAGCCACATGTAGTTCTTATATTAGCACAACTATGGGACATTCCATCATTGCACACATTTGTGTGACAGCAGTGCTCTATAACATTGACAGATGGTCAGAGAGGATGTGCTCAAAAATAGAATCTCAGGGTTGGAGACAATCTTCATGGTCACATAGTTCAGCCACCAGTCTTGCCTGCCATATCCCTGCAAATAGTCAAGAGGCCGGTGTGTAAACATCTCCATTGGTGGTGAACTCTGTCCTTTAACCGTAAAGGAGTTTATTTTCTTACAAACTATTCTACTTTTTAGTAGTTCTGAGAGTTAAAAAATTACCTTGATTAAAAATTGTCTCCTTACAGAACACAGATTGTGTTGGCCAGGAGCTAGGATAGAAGGGAATGGGGAGAAACAGCTTAAAAGGGGTGTTACTTTGGAGTGATGGAAATACTTTGAAGTTAGATAAATGTGGTTGTACAAAATTGTGGGTATACTAAATGACACTGAATTGTTCATCTTAAAATGATTCGTTTTATGTGAATTTCACCTCAAGTAATTTTTTTTAATTTTTTTAATTTTTATTTTATTTATTTATTATTTTTTTTAAGATTTTATTTGCGAGAGAAAGAATGAGAGACAGAGAGCATGAGAGGGAGGAGGGTCAGAGGGAGAAGCAGACTCCCTGCTGAGCAGGGAGCCCGATGTGGGACTCGATCCCGGGACTCCAGGATCATGACCTGAGCTGAAGGCAGTCACTTAACCAACTGAGCCACCCAGGCGCCCTCAAGTAATTTTTTTTTATTGAGGGGCACCTGGGTGCCTCAGTCGGTTAAGCGTTTGCCTTGAGCTCAGGTCATGGTTCCAGGGTCCTGGGATTGAGCCCCACATCGGGCTCCCCACTCAGCAGGGAGTCTGCCTCTCTCTCTCCCTCTGCCTGCCGCTCCCCCTGCTTGTGCTCTCTCTGACAAATAAATAAATAAAAATCTAAAAAAAAAAAGTATTTATTGAGAGAGTGAGTGAGAGCATAAGCTGGCGGGGGTGGGGGGGGGGGTGGAGGGAGAGGGAGAAGCAGACTCCCCACTGAGCAGGGAGCTGGATGTGGGGCCTGACCCCAGGACCATGACCCAAGCTGAAGGCAGATGCCCAACTGACTGAGCCACCCAGGCGCCCCTTACCTCAAATAATTCAAAAAATTTTTCTTACGACCCAAAGGTCTTGGCTCTAGAATAGCACCTTTTTAGTTGTTCTTGTGTGTTCATGAGTGATAGACCTTTCAGTGGTAATAGTTAGCAAGTCTCTCCTTAATATTCTTCTGAGATTTTAGTATTAGAATTTTGAAGTAATGGAGTATGTTATGGGTGCAGAGAAACAATACAGTGATGACTGGGTAGAACTTTTGGTTAGGTTTCATTTGTAAAGAAGAAATTTTGGTTTAAGTTAAAAATGACTTCTTTCAGAGTGCTAAATGGTTTACAGATTAATTGGGCTGAAGAAATGGAATCTAGGCTGAGCTTTGAGGAACAACTCAGAACTGGGCTACCAAAGGAGCTGCTGCTTCGTTTCTCATCAGGAAGCCGATTTCCATGTTTTCTGGCATTGCAGTGAATATTTTGGTTTCTAACTACTATCTTACGAACATTTCACTCTTTTCCTAGATTTGGAAGGGATCAAGAATGAGATATGTAGTGCCTAATTGTCTTCTTCATTCATAGTGACTTTGCTAACAGTTCGTTATATAGGGCAAGTTACTTGGTCTCCTAAGCATCAGACTTCTAACCATTTCTTATCAGAACCACCTGTGGAAGTTAAAAGATGGCCAGGCCCTCACCTAGAATTAAATCAGAGTGTGTATCATGTTTTGTGAATTCTACAGATAATTATGATGCACCTCAGTTAAACATAGGTCTAGATAATCACCAAGGATTTGAGTAGCTCTGTGAATCTACTTTCTCTAATCCAGACTAGGGGCTTTATATCAACTTACTTTTTGTTCTTGTTCTTTACCAAATGAGCATTGAGTATGGGCTCACACTGTTATGGCATCAGAACTGTTTTTCTGTATGCAGATCAGCTAGCACACCTGGATACACATTGTTCCTCCTACTTTTCAGTTTACCTTTGGGCTGACTGTAAAACTAAGGGCAGAAGCACAGATTTTGTGAAATATTCCATGTAGAGTTGTGAAGAATACTATTTTTCTGAACTGTTTTTGTATCCTAGGAGTGCTTACATAAAGTTATTAATTCTGAACCTTAGAACTATAATGTATTATTTAAACTGGATTTGTCTTGGGGTGCCTGGCTGCCTAATTAGGTAGAAACATGTGATTCAATCTCGGGGCTGTGAGTTTGAGCCCCACGTTGGGTGTAGAGATTACATAAAATCTTTAAAAAAACAGAACAACACTGGATTTGTCTTTTGGCCAGGTTCCTCCTGGATGAAGAAGGACCAGCCCACCTTTACCCTCCGACAAGTTGGAATAATATGTGAGCGTCTCTTAAAAGACTATGAAGATAAAATTCGGGAGGAGTATGAGCAAATCCTCAATACCAAACTAGCAGGTAGGCTGAGGCAGTGGCTGTGCCATTGTTAATAGGGTTCGGTAAATAATAAGGTTCAGTCAAATGGTAACTTAGAAAAAGAGCAGGACTTCATATAAGAAAGTTTAATGAGTTGTGAATAGTAAGTTACTCTCTGGTGATTCTAAACATTATACATTATAGGGGAAGGACTTTTCATTTACATTTCTGAAACAAGATAAGCCAAGCTTTTCTTTTGACATTTTTCCATATGAATAAAGGCAGTGAGTAGTTTATTTGGGCTAACCTCCCAACTGGTGGTTGGGAGTGGAGTATAGTCCACACGATCAGACTTCCTGGTAGCAGTCACTTTGTGGATATGGGAAATCTGGCATTCTGTAATTTGGATGTACGTTAGTTTGGAAAGCACAGCTCAGGTTTGAGCAAAGGGAGTTGACAGTGATGTCAACAAGTAGAGCCTTTTATGAAAGGAAGAGATCTGAATCAGGAATAGAAAGTAGTACCCATTTAGTGAAAGGGGACAGTGTTGGGATGAGAGAGGTTTTAGACAACAACTTCTTCCTGTAACAGTATTATTTCCTAATCTGGTGACCCACACCACATGCTTCCTCAGAATGTTAGAAAGTCTGCTTTAAATGAGAACTGTTGGTTTAACAACAGTTAAATGGGTTTCTTTATAGTCAAACTTCTTTGATCCTTTAATATACTAATAATGTGTATTAAGACAAGAAGCTCTAGTATATCATTTCCCCTCTCCTACCTCCATCCCCAAAATTTTTCAGTTGGCTCTAAGTCACTTCTCTGTTCATGGATGTTGGACTACCTTCTTTTTTACCGAGTTTCTCTTTAGAAGGTAGTTCTGTGGGACTGTTTACAGTTAGGTAGTATGAAATTTTCTCTGCTTTCTACCCATCCCACTTCTTTCATTCAACGTGTCTGTTGAGATTTATAGCAAGGGTAGAATGCAGAAAAGAGATTCAAGCTTCATGTCTTATAGAGTTCCTAAAATTTGATTTGTAGTACTGAGCCAGTCTGTCTGTCTTGAGAAGCCTTTAGTAGGGAATGGAGTTACAGCAGGGGCAAGATTAGGAAAATGTGATATTATAGATGATCAGTGACCAAATCTAGGAGCCAGGGATTTGGCTCTGGGATCTAAAAGTAAGTAACAGATCCCAGAGCGGCTATTAAAAGGAGGGTCTGAGAGTGGATAATTTAAACTGGGAAGCTAGATGTGATCCTGACACTTGATTCTTGAAAAACTGAGGGAGAGTTCTAGGGATAGTATATACTGTCTTTCCCCCTTACAGAACAATATGAATCTTTTGTGAAATTCACACATGATCAGATTATGCGACGATATGGGACAAGGCCAACAAGCTGTAAGTATTGTCAAGTTTTTCTTTGAATTTTCCAACTTCTAGGAGCAAGATGTTGACACTGAATACCTTGTCTCCTGAGAGCAAAACACCCCTGTGAAGTAAAATAATAGCTAACATTAAAAAAAAAAAAAGCATGTCCAGCATTGTGCTAAGCCCATTAAATCCTCATGAAGTTATTTAATCTACAGTAACCCTATGAGGGAGGAACTGTTGTTAAGCCCCATTTTACAGGTAAGGATGGCACTTAAAGAGGTTAAATAATTTGTCCAAGCTCATAAAGGTAGTAGTTCATCCAGGACTGAAACCTAGGTAGTCTGACTGCAGTACCAATTTGTTTGTTACCTGGCTTTTCCTCCAGAACGGTAGGTTCAATTAGTAATTTATGAAAGTTAATTCCTTAAGCTAGCTTATCAAGTGTGTGGTCACAATTTCTTAATTCTGGACATCTTGGAACTACTAGTTACTCAAAACATAAAGTAATAAGTAGCTGTATATCTAAACTGAAGCTGAGTCAGGTGTCTTAAATTCTGGAAAACTTAGGACATTTTAAGTGTTGACTTACATTCTCCATGTTGTTTATCACATTTCCCATTGGTTAATATTTTTAAAAAGCACGACACTATATTTTTATTATTCTTAAACTCTTTTTTCCCCCCCTAATTTATAGATGTGTCCTGAAGCTTTCTTGCATATCTGGGTACCAGGTTTGACCTCAAGAGATGGCTGCTGTACACTTTTTGCAACTGGTTTGATATCACATTTCAGCTCCAACTTTGCATCCTGAGAACACTTAAACGTTTCTGCAGGTCCATTTTATACAACTTGAAAGACCTTAAAACTTTCTGGTTGCCACAAGCATATCTTTCTTTTCTGCTCATCCAATAAACAGCTGTGCCCTACTGTGATAGATTTTCCAAACAAAAATACCTGGAGCAGCAGTTTAGCAAAATATGCCCTCAGTGGCTCTCAACAAATGGAGTTTCCCCAAGCACAGTTCTGTAAGAAGTGTGTGTGAGAGTGCGTGTATATGTGTGTGTGTGTATTTTAAGTTATTATTTGTATTGTGCAAATTTTTTTGGTCTTGGGGATTCTGGCTGTGAATTTGATGCACGACAATTATGGTTAAAAACATTTGCTTGGTCTACAGAAGATCATTAATGTTTTGTGACCATATAAGTTGTAACGGTGGATTGTTTTATGTTGTAGGTATTATTGTTAAATACAGGGACTGTTTCCAGGCACAGAATATGAATCATAAGTTAGGATGGACATTAGGTGTGATTATGATGACATAGCAAAGGTCTGTGGTCCTAGGTCTACAAATGCGTGGTGAGGGATTAGGACAAACTGGAGACGGGCCGTTTGACACATGGACTCTGCCTAGCCGTGTTGAAAAATACTTTGACTCCAAGCCTTAAAATACCCATGTGGAGTCTGTGCTCACCTCATTCACACACAGAGCTCCCTGGACACTGAACCTCTAAAAAGAAAAAGTCTCCCTGGAGTGGGAGCGTCAGGGTTTGCTTGGGAGCACAACACAGGTGAGCGTGGGGCTGGGCCAGCCCCTGGTGGCACTGCTACTTTGGAGGAGCCACTTTGCCTTTGTATCGGTTATTAAAAACAGAATTTGGATCCTTGTGGTCAGGCTCCCCCAAATTCTTTTTAAGAAGTGACCATGTTCAACTGCTTGAGCTTTGTTTTTGGCAACCCCTGCCCAAAGTTGCTTACAGACTGTTCTTCACCTTGTTTCCAAGGCTGTGGAACAGAAAGTAGCCTCTGTTTTGAGGAGGTGGAAGTTAAGTATACATTTATTTTTTACTGTGACTTGTTCAGGACCACATTTTACAAAATGCCTTGTTTCCTTTATTATTGTTTCTGGAAAGGAAAGTTCTATTAAAATTGTTTTAGTTTGAATATAGAATAGTTTTATTAATTAGGGCTTATTTTGAAAAATTCTGAGTTTAATTCAAGTGTATGCCAGTACCTTCCAAAGTAAGGTAATATTCAGAGACAGTTGTTCTGATCAGATGGCTTAGAGAAATTCTGGAATATTCATATTCGAAGATTCCTTATTAATGAATGTCTTTGACTTAAATCTAACCAAAAACTGCAACATTATTCTTTGTACATTTTCATTATATAGTGTTAACAAGCTTAGTTGCAAACAAATAAAATACTTAAGCTATTTGTTTACCTTGCCTTCTTAATACTGTGATAATGTTTATTAATTCAAATAATTTATGTGAGGCTGCTATAACCATTTCCCCAGTAAAACATTACATTTAAGATTTATAGACTTTTTTTTAAAAGCCCATCAGTGATCTTTAAATAATTAAAGAATTATTTTACTTAATATTTGAAGGGCAGTTTGTTTCATCTCTTCCTTTTCCAGGGTAGTCACTTGTTCCTGGAAGAGGAGCTAGCCGTGGCTGTCATGGGAGTGGCCTTACAGTGGGATAGTCACACCAAAACAAAGGAAGGGCAGCTGAGGGGGCCATCAGAAGTCCTGAAGGATGGATCAGGAATGGGGAACGCTGCTGCACTGATGTCTTGTTACAGAATCAGTGGATGTGGGGCAAATGTCAGCCCCTACTATATGGTTTCTGGCTGGGAGGTAGAGTAGGTTTCTATAAAGGGAAATGATAGACACTCTCTTACTGCTCCCAGTGTTGTTAGGCTGTTATGATATGGTTGCCCTTTGGGGCCATAGGATAAGTAAGACCACATATACCACCATGGCTGGGTTTTGGAATCTCCTCAAAAGGGACTAGACATGTTTGTCTGTTTTATCCGGAGAAGAGACAGTTCCTAGGACAGAAAATGGGGACCTATAATGTAGGCCTTAGGCTAACAAAAGGAGTTTTTCCTTAGACTTGATTTCTAGAGCTTGAACTTAAGAGCATTCCCAGGTAGGGAAGTGTCTTTGTCCCATGGAGTTAGGTCAGAGCCCAGGGAGGAAGTCAACCTACAGAAACCTGTAAGGATAGGCCAGGACCTGTGGTCTCAGAACAGCCATATCTACCACCGTGGTTATAGGTTTTTGTTTTAATAATAGTTATCCTCTTTTGGTAAAATCTTAAGCTTAAGGGGGAATGAAAGGAGTAGGTATTCATGCTTAGGTCAGAGGAGTACAGGGGAGATCAAAGTTCCTGAGGCAGATAATTGTTAAGAGCTCCCCAAGGAGAAGAACATCAGGGAATACAAGAATTTGGGCCAGCCTGTCACACATGGTGAATCTTCTCTGCCTGCCAGGGAGGATGGGTTGGCTGTGTAGTAAAGGAATGGCCTTTGGATACATGTAGCCCTAGAGTTTAGTTTGCTGCGTGAGCCTTGCCAAGCTACTGAAATTTGTGAGCCATAGTTTTCTTGTCTGTAAAATGAAGGTGAATTGTATGTACATCACTGGGTTTTGTTTTCAAATGCGAGATTAAGTTAAATAGCCCATGTAAAGAAAGTAGCACAGCCTGAGACATAAAATATGCATTTGATACTGTTATATAGCAGGTTTCCTTACAGTGGTCTTCATTAGATCTGAAGACCAAAACGTTCCTTTCTGCAGCAGCAATTCTCAACTTTCCAGTATGAATAGCCCTTTGTTAACATCAAAATCTCACGTTCTCTAATTAGAATTTGTACTTTAAGTGTTTGACTAAGAAAACAATAAAAGATAAATGACCAATGAATTCAGTAATGCCTTTCAGTGAATCTGTATTTTGTTACTATAGCAGGGTCAGCAAACTAAGGCCTGGTTTTGTAAATAAAGTTATATTGAAACACTGCCACACCTATTTGTTTGCGTCTGTGGCTGCTTTCACAGTTGGCAACTCCAGAAACAGGTAGTATGGGCCACGGAGTTGAAAATACTCTGGCCCCTCACACAAAAGTTTGTGGGCCTGGGCACTGTAGCACTGATACACATTTGAAAAGCTCACAGACAAGGCAAACTCGGTGCATCATGGATTGGTGGACAAGAACCTTAATTTGTTTCTAGGGGAGTTACACCTCCGGTGTGTCATGATAAAAAAACATCCTGTGCTTACAAATGAAAACCGACTGTCAAAGTGAGTATCTTACAGAAAAAGCCAATGAAGTTTTCAGAGCAATGATTCTCAAGGATGGGACGGGGGCGCCTGGGTGGCTCAGTCATTAGGTGTCTGCCTTCGCCTCAGGTCATGATCCCAGGGTCCTGGGATGGAGCCCCGCATCGGGCTCCCTGCTCTGTGGGAAGCCTGCTTCTCCCTCCCCCATTCCCCCTGCTTGTGTTCCCTCTCTTGCTGTCTCTGTCAAATAAATAAAATCTTAAAAAAAAAAGGATGGGGACAGGGAACATGCTATTGGGGGTGGGTCATTAGAATGACTTATTTTTGACATATTTAATTTTGAAATTTCAGATACAAACTGGGTGTAAGGATTTTATGTTTATCAGAAGATCGTTTGTTAAGTATTGTTCTTAAGGAACAGTGACTTGATTGCTTGCCTGGGTGGTTATTTCCTTAAAAATGGCTTCAGAGAGTGCTATAGTCCACAGCTACAGTTAAACTGGTCCTTGAATAATGCTGATACTTTCAGGAAGAAAGAAGCAAGTTTACCTAGGGAAAAATGTCCAGCTACTTAACCCCAAATGATACTTTCAAATAATTAGCACTTCATTGTGAAGATTACCTAAATTTGTTTAAAATTTAAGCAACTAAAGTCTTCACGGGTCTCTTGTTTTCACTGATTGTTGCTTATAGTGTCTTGTCTCATTATGTGCCAGGTTATCTGTGAGCCGGATACTATATTTGAACAATTGTAGGAATAAACAGGACAAGGATGAAGCATCTACCTCTAGAAGGATTTCTGGTTGCCTGTGCTGGGGATATTACTAAACCTTAATTCAGATTGAAGGCTGGAGGTTCCCTAGATCTTCCAGATGGCACACAACCAGGTCTCAAGTCTGTGTGAAGACTAGTTTAGTTGTGTTTCACCCTTATCTTAAAAGTGTAATACTTAGGAATCCCAGCTTAAGGAGCCTGTGCTGGGGGTACCCCTTTAGCTGGCCTTAGGTTTTGATTTTTGTCCCCTTCAGTCCATGAGGCTTCTGAAAAGTGCGCTGCAAGCATCCAGGGGCTTCCAGATTGGCAAATGCCTTAACAGTGCAGCTTTGAGTTCTAGGCTTTGGGTTCTCAAGATTTTGGCTCAGTAACTCCTTATTACCTAGTTAGCTTTTTTATGCTTTTAAGAAAATAGTTTTTATATTTCAACTACTTTTTAGTTGACTTTAGCAATAGGCTGATTTCAAACTTCCTCATGCTCGATATCTAGAGGTGCAAGTTCCTATGTGTTTTTGGCCTCATCAGAGCTTTGGTGAAGGTGCTTAACCTGGTGTGGTACCCAACATGCCTTCATGTTAGTGAGAGATAAGTAGGGAAATTCATGTTTATATTGGATTTGAGTGTTTTTCCAATTATTTGGCAAGCATTACTGGTGTCTTCTGAGTTATTTGTGGAGGACAGCTATTTGAGTTTTTAAAGCCTGACAAGTTTTTTGTTTTTGTTAAGCCTGACAAGTTTTTTTAAACACTTATTTTTTGAGGGGGTGGCAGAGGGAGAGAAGCACTAGCAGACTCCCTGCTGAGCTGGAGCTTGACACAAGGCTGGATCTCACGACACTGAGATCATGACCTGAGCTGAAATCAAGAGTCAGAGGCTTAACCAACTGAGCCACGCAGGTGCCCCTAACCTGACAAGTTTTATAAGTAGCCCTAGTCCGTCTTATATCCTCAATACCTGACTTGGAATTAACATACATAAATATACTTAGGCATTTGGATCTTGACCCCTGAGAAGGAGGCTCAGTCTAGCAAGGAACATAAGCAGGTTAGGTAAAAGTTGCTGAGTGTTGCGTGAATGGAACAGATAATGGCCTAAGGAAAAGAAAAGGTTCTTAGCAGTGGTGACCAAGAAGTTTTCATTTGGGGAGGCAGAGTTGGAACAAGGTTTCAAAGGATGAATGAGACTCAGGCAACAGTAGGAATTGGTGGGGCACCTAGGTGGCTCAGTGGGTTAAGTGTCTACCTTTGGCTCAGGTCCTGATTCCAGGGTCCTGGGATTGAGCCCTGAGTCTGGCTCCCTGCTCAGCAGGGAGTCTGTTTCTCCCTCTCCCTCTGCCCCTCCCCCCGTTTTGAGCTCCCTGGCCCACGCTCTCTTTCAAATAAAATCTTTAAAAAAAAAAAACAGGGCGCCTGGGTGGCTCAGTCGTTAAGCATCTGCCTTCGGCTCAGGTCATGATCCCAGAGTCCTGGGATCGAGCCCCACATCGGGCTCCCTGCTCCACGGGAAGCCTGCTTCTCCCTCTCCCACTCCCCCTGCTTGTGTTCCTTCTCTGGCTGTCTTTCTCTCTGTCAGATAAATAAAACCTTTAAAAAAAAAAAAAAAGGAATTGGGAGCTTGAAAGGAGCAAAGGCTGGGTGGTGGAAAATCATGGTGGTGTATAGTGAGGACATTCTTGTTTAGCCAGAGTAGGAAATCTTGTAGATCCTGGGAAGAGAGCTTGAAGCTAGGTAGTAGGGACTAGATAATGAAGGGTTTTGACTACTAGGCATTTAGCTATTAATCAGGAAATCTGGAGAGTTTTGGGGAAACTAATTCAGGAGTAAGTACAAGACAGAAGGGCAAATACCAAACTACACAACGGTTGACCAGTTAAGCCTCTTTTTTGTCCCATTAGAGATAACAAAGGCCTGTACATTGATTGGGAAGGATGATTTAAACATGGCTCTGGCTTTGCCTGGCGAAGAAGATCCTTGAAGGATCTCTCGGGGCTCATTTTCCCTCTTCATATAGACACACTTTGAAAGATCCTTTTTCTTTTGGTTTGGCTTGTCTTTGCCCTTCACTTAACTAATCTAGCCCAGTTCCACAGCTGCTGCTGCTGTTGAGTTTTGTATGCATAGATGCTCCCAGATAAAATAATCTTAAGCCTTCTATAGGTTGTCTCTCTGTAGCCAGGGTTAAGAGAGATGCGGTCCTTGCCCTAGAAAAGCTCACAGTCTATGGGCAGAAATGGATAAAACTTGCTTTGATAAGTTTCTATGCATCTGGACAGAGAGACCAGGGTGTTTCCTGGGGAAGGCTACTCAGCTGCCCTGGCAGGTTCCCCCCAGGTAGTTTAATCACCCCAATCTATACTCAGGAAGGCTGAATCACTAATACAGCTATATCGGTCCATAAAACCAGACTCCAATGTGTTATTTTTTTCAATTTTAAGTAGGCTCTATGCCCAACGAGGGGCTTGAACTCATGACCCTGAGATTAAGAGTCCCATGCTCTACTGAACCAGCCAGGCACCCCTCCAGTGCGTAAATTTATGAATGAGAAATAGGTCAGGTGCAGTTAGACTACCCCATTGGCCTTAACAGTGTGTTTTCTTCATATAATCATACCACTTCAGAAACCTAATTAAAGTCAGAATGAGGGGAGTTAATTCTAGGGATGGAATGTTTACCAGCATCAAGTTACCCCTACCACCATGAACCTGGCACAGGTTCCCACTTATGCTTCTTTAGTTCCTGGTCCTGTTGCATTTCAACTTGGTATCTTCTCCAACTTGGTCGGCATATTCTTTTCTAGTTTAAACGATCACTCCGGCTTCCAGTATATTCCAGGCATTTGCACCCATTTTTTAAAAAAAAATTTTATAGTAATCTCTGTATCCAACATGGGGATCGAACTCAGGACCCCCATCAAGAATCACATGCTCCTTGGGGCACCTGGGTGGCTCAGTCGTTAAGCGTCTGCCTTCGGCTCAGGTCATGATCCCAGAATCCTGGGATTGAGTCCTGGGATCAAGTCCCGCATCAGGCTCCCTGCTCAGCGGGAAGCCTGCTTCTCCCTCTCCCGCTCCCCCTGTTTGTGTTCCCTCTCTCGCTGTCAAATAAATAAAATCTTAAAAAAAAAAAAAAAAAAATTCACATGCTCCACCGACTGAGCCAGCCAGGCGCCTTGGCCCCCGTTACTATCTCTTTAAGATTACCTTGCTTATTGGGTTTTTTCTATCTATCCTATACCTGGGGGCTTGGAGGTGAGGGCAGGGGTAAGTTTCCAAACTGTCTTCCCCAAATGTGCTAGGACCCTCAGGCTACCCAGTTGTTTGCTCAACTCTACCAGTGGTATGATACAGGCCTGAAAAGTTCCCCATGTGCTAAACTGTAAAGACGGCCTATCTGCCGAAGGGTAGTGTTAAAGCTTTTCTCGGGTTATAACTGAGTAAGGTGTGTAAACATGAGGGAATCCTTCAGGTCAAGGGCAGAAGTCCCGTGAATGAAGACCAAGGAGGTTTCTAGAAGGCCTGAGACCTCTGTGCTCACACAGAGGCGGAGGCTAGTTTTCAAGGGGGTGGGATTGGGGGGCTTGGATTAGGTCACTAGGCCATCCTCACGCGCTGAAGCTGAAGCCGGGAGCAAGGCTCTGCTTGCTTAGAACAAACCGCGTAGGACGCCTAGTCGAATTCCACTCGGTTTCTGCGCCTCGGCTTCCCCAACACAAAATGGAAGAACATAGCAAGTCGGGCTTGCTTCTGCGCCTAAAGTTCTCCGAGGTCGTAAAACCACACTTCCCCGAAGCAGAGAATCTGCAAGAGCAAGGTAAAGGGAAGGTAAACGAAGGGCGTAACAAGGCAGAGGCATCCTACCCCTAAGGTCGGCAACCACGTCACTTGTAAGCCGCAAGAATTTAAGAGGGCGCGCGTGCTCACTATAGCAACGGCGCAGACTCAGTTCTGGCGTGGGAGTTCTGGGAGTTGTAGTTTTCCAATATTTGACGTAGAGGAAGACCCGTCACCCGACATCCTCCCACACCATGCGGGCACGGGGCTGTCCGCACGGTGCAGTGCAGGGGGCCGGCGTGTCAGTAGTGAACAGCATCTATAATAGAAGTCTACAAGGCTGGCGGGACTTCAAGAAAGGCCTAGTGAATGCCTGAGGAATTTGGGAAGCTTTCACCAGAAAACGCTCCATATAAATAATCTGGACGGATTAGGCATTCGCCTGGGAGACAGTAGGAAGGTGGCAACGAGCGGGTTGGGACCATTCCAGGCAGAAGAAACTATGCCTACAAAGTTTGGAAGATCAATTCTTTGATGGCCGAGAACATGAGGAGGCTGCGTAAGCAATTATATCCGAGGATTTAGAAATGGGAAGAAATCAGATCATGAGGGGTCTTGAAGGCCAAACCAAGTAATTTGAAACTTTTCTTGAATACACCGACACCTGACACACAACCCAAGCAGTATAACCCCCTCCTTGTGTTCTCCCTTGTTTTTGTTCATATTTCTGTTTTATCACTTGCTACACCATTCAGTGTCCTAGTCCAAAGAGCTCAACAAGGGCCATGGCATATGGTAAGAGCTCAGGAAGTTGTTTTTTTGTTTGTTTGTTTGTTTTTTAGGAAGTGTTTTTTGAATGATCAGTTTTGAGTTTTAAGAAAAGCAACTGTCAGGCGCCTGGGTGGCTCAGTCGGTTAAGCGTCTGCCTTCGGCTCAGATCATGATCCCAGGGTCCTGGGATCGAGTCCCACATCAGGCTCCCTGCTCTGCAGGGAGCCTGCTTCTCCCTCTCCCACTCCCCCTGCTTGTGTTCCCTCTCTTGCTGTATCTCTCTCTGTTAAATAAATAAAATCTTTAAAAAAAAAAAAAAGAAAAGCAACTGTCAGCAATAAGGAGAATGGGTAAGATGGGAGCAAGGCTGGATGTAAAAAGCCATCGGAATAAATTGCTTTCCCTATCTTCAGATTTCCCTCTATCCAAGGGCTGAAATCTGGCACACCAAAATACATTTCCAATGTGGGTTTTGTTTGGCCAGCACTTGAAAAAAAAATTAGTTGCCCTGCATTTTAAAAGTGGTAGGTTTCACATTTAAATAATAACAAAAGATTTCTGGCTTCTCTTGAAAAACTTTAGGAGATTTGACAATTTGGGGGCCCTGATTTTCTCAACAGCTATAGGATGCAGCTGAGTAGCTGCCACCGCCTTCAGATAGGACATACCCTCTCCAGTTTGTCACATTCCACACGACTCCTTCCATCAGTGAAACTGATGCCAAGTACCAGCTGCCATTTATTATGGTGCTTGTTTTTATTTCCTTATAGTGAACTCTGTTTGGCCTTGGAGGCATTTGAGTCACCCATCTTTGTACTAACCTATCCTGCCTGGTATCTGAGGAGTGATACAATGAGATTTAGTATTTTAGAAACATTATTCAGTGAAAAACAGATTAAAGTGAGGAGCTGAGAGGCCAAAGGGAAGAAATGAATTAGAAACCTGTTGAAGGAATATTTGAGAGAACTTGGCCAGTAATTAAAGACTGGATGAAAGATGAGGAAAGGGCAAAATACAAATTCATAGTTTCCTGCCTGAAAGACTGGGAAGATGATATCACCAACTTAAAAAAGTGGAAGAAGTGGGAAGGGAGTTAGCAATCAATATCTTGCTACCTCTACTATTCTGTGGGCAAGAGCCATGAATTACCAATTCCATAATCTTCCAGTACTCTGCTGGACATGCATTAGGTGTTCAGGAAATTCTAGCTGAACTGAAACTCTGATCCCAGTTGGGAGGTATATATCTGATGAGCTGGGGGGAGCAGAGGGAAAATTGGAAATCTTAAAAGAAACCAATTAAGCTATGGGACCTTAGGAATTCTCTCCAGAGTTGGTGATCCTAGGGCTTGGAGGCAGTTCACCCATTCTGGGGGGAAATTTTGCAAAAGTCCTAAAGCAGAGGAAGAATTTGACACACAGAAATGGAGATGGGGTTGAAATAGTGTCCTTCTAGGGGAAAGGGGGAAAAAATCAGAGACTGGCTGGCAGGACTTTTCCAAGAATACAATGGAACAGCAAGCTCTTGGATGGGGAAGATTAGGCAGAGGATTTTGGACAATGAGGCTGGGAAGGTTGGAAGACTTGACTTTTCTAAACGTTTCTGAGAGTACATCATTTTTTTTTTTTTAAGATTTTATTTATTTATTTGACAGAGAGACACAGCGAGAAAGAGAACACAAGCAGGGGGAGTGGGAGAGGGAGAAGCAGGCTTCCCGCTGAGCAGGGAGCCCGATGCGGGGCTCCATCCCAGGACCCTGGGATCATGACCTGAGCAGAAGGCAGATGCTTAACGACTGAGCCACCCAGGCACCCCAGAGTACATCATTTAAAAGGAGAATAAATTTTCAGCCCAAACCCCAAATAAGTATTTTTTGTAAGTTACTTATATGTACAACTGCAGTAATGTTACATACTTCATAAACATTACACCAGGAAATAGAAATTAAAGGGGCACCTGGCTGCCTCAGTAGCTGGAGCATTCCAACTCTTGATCTCAGGGTCTTGAGTTCGAGTCCTATGTTGGGTACAGAGTTTACTTAATTAAAAAAAATATTTAAAAATAGAAATTTAAAAAGATTAGATAAAAAATGTAAGTATTTGAGGATTTTCTTCCCTCACACCCAGTGTGTATCACACACGCCACTTCGGAGGCCCTGCTGTAGTCAAAGGGAGCCACTGGATGTTCTCAAACAGAGGAGCGGCATGGTCTCTGTTGACTTTCTCGAATCTGCAAACTTTAGAAGCTGAGATATCAAAGAACTGTGATTGCCTTGGAGAGGTTTCCATGCGCCAGGAACCGCCTCGGTGTTTTACATTTACCTCATTTAATCCCCAAAGCAACCCTACGCTGTAGGTACTTAAGATGAGAAAACTGATAAACCTCATCGGTACGATACTGCCACTGCGCAAAGCTGAGAAAACTGAGGCATAGTGAGGCTAAGACACTTTCTCAGGGTCACACCGAAGTGGCGGAACCAGAATTTGAACCCACCCAGCGTAGGTCCACAGCCCATGAGTTTAATCACTACTGGCAGGGGTGAAGGTTGGGAAGCCACTACTTTTTCTCTCTTGCGGCCTGGGTCAAGCCCCTCACCAATCCGAGCTGTCGTGAGAGTGCTAGGCACAATGCGAGCAGACAGCAGTAACTCACCGCTGGGCCTCGTCTAACGGAATCGTCTAGAAGTCAGTTTATTTACAATTCCATACCTTCAGAGGCTGATGCCGACGACTGCGCCGGCGCAGAATGAAGGGCTTGGTTCCTATGGTTTCCGGGCGCGACGGCAGAGGGAAGGTCGGGTTTCGCTGTCGCGCTGCTAGCGTCGCACTGCGGGCGTCCTTTGCGGCAGGCCTCTGCGTCGCTCGCAGATCATCCAGTAGCGGCGGCCGGCAAGGGTACAAGGGCACCGCGGCGCGACGGTAGGGGCTGCGTTTGTCCGCGGGCAGTTTAGCCTAAGGAGCTTCCTTCCGAGATTTCTTTAACGAATTTTCTCTTGCTTTCTTGGGTGTCCGTTCTTCCAGGCCCGAACTCTGGGCATGTTTTCTGCGTTCCCAGGCCCCTGCGTCCACCGCCAATGTCACTGAAGCCTGTAGACCGCACCTCTTTCGGCTCTCTGTCGAGGTTAACTTAGCTTTTTGCCTCACTAATGCTTTGGCCTTCTGTTTCTTAACCTCAGGTCCACCCACCTTATTCCGGCTTACAAGGCGCTGAGTGATTGCGGCCCTGCCAACCTCTAGCTCCTTTCGTTCTTCATCCCGACGTGCACTCTGCGCTCCAGCCACATCTGGGTGCTTGGTGTCTCGCGGACATACCCAGTACCTCCGGCTGTAACTCGGTCTGGGCTTTACTGGAATACCCTGCCCACTGACCTTCACTTGGCAAATTCAACCCATCTTAAAGGCATTTTCAAGTCTCCTGGGCAGAGTTGGTGCTTATTCCTTCGAGCTATATATACCCTCTTGTCCGTTGGGTTCCCAGTTCCTTGTGTGTCTGTCTCCATTCTAGTGTTTACGTTGTAGCTACTGCTCCCCGCCCCCCCCCCCCATTCCATTGCCTGGAACGTTATTACTCAGTAAACGAAAGAATGGGTAGAAAAATATAAAAATTAAGTTCACCTGTAAATCTGCCACTCATAAATGACTTTATTGACATTTTTTGTGCTTCCTTCCAGTCTTCTTTTGCAATTTTTCTTTGACATTGTAGACCCTTTTTTTTCATTTAACATTAAAATGTAGGTACCATGTATAACGTACCATGTCTGTTACCTGTTTTTCCTAACGTCTGTCATATGCTACTAGGCGAGTACTGGAATTATCCATTTCCCTACTGCACACTTAAGTTATTTGAAATTCTTTTTTTTTTCCCCCTAACAATTACTGAGGCCCTACCTGGTCCCTGCCCTCACAGCACTCATTGTTCAGTAAGGGAGACATTCAAGTTAATAATCCATTACAGTGGTGTGCAAAGTACTCCTATGGGAAGTTGAGATGCTGTATGAACACAGAGGAGGGACACCAGATTCAGGATGGCTTCACAGGAGAAGTGTCATCTGAGTTGAGACAAATAGGAAAATGTAAAGAAATGTTTTTGTGCTTGTGCTTTTTTGTTTTATTTCTTCAGATTTATCTCAAAGAATTGGGATTATTGAGTCAAAACATAAACAATGACTTTTGATTAAAATGACCTTATCAATACAGAGATGACTTTTATGCATCGTTTTTTAGTTCTGGTGGGTTGGGTTTCTTTTTCAGGCTTTGTGAAAACACATACTGCTAATCTACCATAAACTAGAGGAGCTTTCAAATGAAATAATTTAGTAAGAATATATTGGGAGAATAGCATAAAATATCTTTCTAGAGGATACTTATAATTATCTCATTTTCCTTAGAAATTTATCATTTGATTGCACTTTTATGGCATTATTTCTTTTTTTATCTTCCATTTCAGCCATGCCTTTCTTTGATGTGCAGAAAAGGCTGGGCCTTAACTTAGATTATTGGATGACAATCCAAAGTGCTGAGCAGCCTCACAAGATTCCAGGTCGATGCCATGCTTTTGAAAAAGAATGGATAGAATGTGCTCATGGAATCGGTGGTACCCGTGCAGAGAAAGAGTGCAAGATAGAATTTGATGATTTCGTAGAATGTCTGCTTCGGCAGAAAACGGTGAGGAGTGATGGAGATGGGAGCTGAACTATTTCCTTGTTTCTTTGGGGCTGCTTTTAAGTGTTTTTAATTGGTCATTGGTAATGGCTTGTTCAGTGCAAATTGGCAAAACTTTTGTGGTGAAACACTTTCTCTACATAGGTAGCATGTCAAGGAAGTTAAATGCCTTCAGATCTGAGGAGGGTCTGTTGTTCCTCAGTGTTCTTCCTCATCTTCTGACATATTTTCCTCAGCCTTGTACCCTGCTGTAGCCACCAGATTAGAAATCATATGTGTGTGTATTCCCATTTTTGCAGTAGGCTATAAAGCAGAAATTACCAACCAGCTTTGGATGTTTGTCCTTGAACATCTCTGGGTGAAAATGTTCCAAATTCATTGAACCCTCATTGGAGAAGAGGTTAAAACCTTGCAGATCTATTACAGTGAACCTGGTATAACAAACTCTGGATTAATTTCTACTCTGGGGAAGATGGGGGTGTTAATGAGATTGCTTTAGGTGAGCCTGACCAAAGAGCAGGGGAAAAAGGATGTTAACAGCGTGATGTCTACCTCCTCAAGAGTTGAATGAGTTGCATAACATATGGGCTGTATTCTCCCTTAGAGAAGAAATCTTTGGGTGTGGGCTGTTATTTTGCCTGTTCTCTGCTCCAGATATAACAAATAGAAATGTTTTTATTACTCCCAACTCCTTGGAGTTCAGGAAAGCAATTTAGATTTTTAGTTAAATTTATCACAGTTATTTGTATCAAAACTTTTTAATTTCCTGTCTTTTAACATCTGCTATTGGCATTTGGGTAAAGTGAAACCAAACTTGGAAGGAATTAGAGGGTATCAGGTAATAATTTTGTATTGATCTCTGCAGGAATATTGATCATTAAGTGAGTAATATTGTATAGTATTACTGAGGGTCAGTAAGTGGGTCATAGTTAGTCGCCTACCCGCTATTTAGTTCACAATATGTCTTTTTTTTTTTTTAAGATTTTATTTATTTGACAGAGAGAAACAGTGAGAGAAGGAACACAGCAGGGGGAGTGGGAGAGGGAGAAGCAGGCTTCCCGCAGAGCAGGGAGCCCGATGTGGGACTCGATCCCAGGACCCTGGGATCATGACCTGAGCCGAAGGCAGACGCTTAACGACTGAGCCACCCAGGCGCCCTAAGATTTTATTTTTAAGTAATCTGCACCCAACATGGGGCTCGAACCCACAACCTGGAGATCAAGAGCTACACACTCCAGCGACTGAGCCAGCCAGGTGCACCTCCCAGAGAACTGGGTTTTGAAGCTGGTTCTGCCACTACTGGTTTTGTGACTCTGGGCAAGTCACTTCCCTTTTTGGTCTCAGTTTCCGTATCTGGAGATACCCAGGAGTTGCTCTCAAGTCACTTCCTCATCCTGTGAATCTGTAAATAGGTCTGTTACTGTTTTAGAGGTCACCTTGAATGACTAGATACTTAGCCCTAGGCGAAGAAGCTAGTGAATCAGGGAGTTAGAATCAAGCACTGTTCTAAGTTCTTAGCTTGTAGTAGTGGATTTATTTCACACAGTAATCCTGGGAGATGCCTTACTAGAATTTTTCTACTATACAATTAAAAACTTGGGGCAAGACAAAAAGAAAATCAAGGCCATTGCCTGAAGTCATATTGCTAGTAAGCGATAGAACTGGGAACCTGGCAGTGCAGGCAGAGGCTGTGCTTCTGTCTACAACACTAAGAGGTGATTGTTCCACCTGAGACAGACTTAACATTAGGTGTTGTGATAGCTCAGTCATGATGAGTTCTCTGTCGGGAGATTCTTTATTTTTATTTTTTAATTTTGGGGGGGTAGATTCGTTAAGAGAGAAATGTTTAAGAATGCAGTCTTTTATATTAACGATACTGGAATTTAAAAAAATGCAATCTTTTAAAAATGGCTAATGTTTATATCATTATTTAGAACACCTAGAGGTTTTTCTACTGAAGTTATATCCTGACTGACTCTTTAAGGTTAATGGGATCTTTTACTAAATATACTAACCCCTCATGCCTTTTTGAAAACTTATTCACCAAAAAAAAAAAAAAAAATTTTTATTGAAGCACCTATTATGTCAGGAGCTATTGTAGGTGCTAGGAATATACAGTAAGAAAACAGGAAAAGTCCCTACCCTAACAGAGCTTATATTTGGGGTAAGGGGTGTCAAAATTAACAAACAAGTCAAAAAAAAAAAGGGTGTTAGGTGTTGGTAAGTGCAGCAGGGACGATAAAGATAGAAAGCACTGCGTGTGGGAGCTAAGTGGATGCTCTTTTTTTTTCTCTCTTTTAAATAGAGTGGTCAGAGAAGAGCTCAGCCCTAGAAGATATTTGAGCAGAGACTTAAAGTGAGCCATGTGGTTGTGATGGAAGAATGTTCTGGTTAGAGGAGGAGCAAGTGCAAAGGTCCCTGAGCTAGAGCAGAGAGAATGAGGGAAAGTATTAAGACATAAAGTCAGAGGGAAAAAAAAACAAGACATAGAGTCAGACGTAGGCCTAGTAAGTCGTCATAAGGAAGGATTCAGCTTTTTTTCTCAGTAAAATGGGAAGCCATTGGGTTTTGGGCAGAGGAATAATGCAGTCAGCATTAGGGGGTGTATTTTCTGGGTCGCAGAATCCATGTGAATTACAGCTTTCCTACAATCTTGTATAGCATGGCTTTCGTTGGTTGGGAAAGAACCAGTGTCCTACCTGAGAGGAAGAGGTAGAACTCAGGGCTCAGTAGTGACTAGTAGCTGAGCACCTAGCAGGTCTTTATTTCGGTGTGGTGAGGAGAAACCTCACATTGGCCCTTTCTGCTTCCTTCATACCTAGTGAACAGTAACCAGCAGCAGTGCCAGGTTCACAGAGAGGTCAGGAGTGTTTCGGCTGTGAGATGATCATCTTTAAATACTGTAAAGATTTAAGTATGCACAAGTATGCCTCTTAAAGGTTTTTGATCTCTGTTACTGTTTGTTTGTTTGTTTTTAAGATTTTATTTATTTATTTGACAGAGAGAGACAGCGAGAGACGGAACACAAGCAGGGGGAGTAGGAGAGGGAGAAGCAGGCTTCCCGCTGAGCAGGGAGCCTGATGCGGGACTCGATCCCAGGATCCCGGGATCATGACCTGAGCAGAAGGCAGATGCTTAATGACTTAGCCACCCAGGCACCCCTCTGTTACTGTTTTTGTAAATCCCTGTATTCCTGTATGTAACAGGAACATTTTAGTTATTATTTTTAAAGGAGGTATTATTATACATACCAGAAATTCATTAAAAGCTTGGGAAGTGATTTCAAGTTACTTCTTTAAAGAAGGATTTCATGGGGCACCTGGGTGGCTCAGTTGTTAAGCGTCTGCCTTCGGCTCAGGTCATGATCCCAGGGTCCTGGGATCGAGCCCCGCATCGGGCTCCCCGCTCCGCGGGAAGCCTGCTTCTCCCTCTCCCACTCCCCCTGCTTGTGTTCCCTCTCTCGCTGTGTCTCTCTCTGTCAAATAAATAAATAAAATTAAAAAAAAAAAATGAAGGATTTCATCTCAGAGGACCTCTGGGATGAACAGCTTCCATAGTTTAAAAATGAAACCAATTTTCATTCTGTTTCTCTAGCCCTCAAGTTTATGGTACGTATTTCCCCCTAGTTTAAATACTTTTTTCCTTTGACAGATGAAACGTCTGAGTGACATCAGGAGGCAGCGAGATAAACTAATAAAGGAAGGGAAGTACACACCTCCACCTCACCACTTGGGCAAGGAGGATCCTAGGCCTTGAGCAGAGCTGCTGCTGATGGCTGGAGGCTGATTTTCATGTTCTCTCTTCTCCACTGGAAAGTTCATTTACTGATAACCTCTTTGTGAAAGTGTCTAAAAATAAAGGATTGCTCCATCCTATTTATTCTATTTTCTCTTGGATCATACTTTTCTATAATGAGATTGCAATCTTTTTTTTAGATTTGGAAAAAATGCCTTTACCTATGCCTTAAAAATTAGCAGGTAGGTAATAAAAAGCAGCATTTAATGACACTTACTATGTATAAGGTACTTTAAATACGTTAACTTGTTCAAGAAGTTGCAGTATTCTTTACTGCTGTCATTCTGGTTTATTCCCCATAAAGCACAGACTTGGGCTCAGGGGGCAGTAGAGAGAGTGGTTGTGTATGTTCAGATAATTTTGTTTTGTTTTGTTTTGTTTTGTTTTGTTTTTTAAAGATTTTATTTATTTGAGAGAGAGAATGAGAGAGAGAGAGCACATGAGAGGGGGGAGGGTCAGAGGGAGAAGCAGACCACCTGCCGAGCAAGGAGCCCGATATGGGACTCGATCCCGGGACTCCAGGATCATGACCTGAGCCGAAGGCAGTCGCTCAACCAACTGAGCCACCCAGGCACCCAATTTTGTTTTGTTTTTAATTTATTTTCAGATAATTTTTTTTTAAAGATTTTATTTATTTGACAGGCAAGACAGCAAGAGAGGGAACATAAGCAGGGGGAGAGGGAGAGGGAGAAGCAGGCTTCCCACCGAGCAGGGAGCTCAATGTGGGGCTCGATCCCAGAACCCTGGGACCATGACCTAAGCCGAAGACAGACGCTTAACGACTGAGCCACCCAGGTGCCCCTATTTTCAGATAATTTTGAAGAAGCAATCCCATGGTTTCAATTCACTATCTTAAATCAGTGGCATATTAGTACTTCTAATTGACGTATTTAGGAATGTTTTGTTTGGTTTTTTTAGATTTTATTCATTCATTTGTCAGAACACAAGCAGGGGGAGTGGCAGGCAGAGGGAGAAGCAGGCACCCCACTGAGCAAGGAGCCCTATGTGGGACTTGATCCCAGGATACTGGGATTATGACCTGAGCTGAAGGCAGATGCTTAACTGATGGAGCCACCCAGGTGTCCCTAGGAATGTTGTTTTTTTTTTAAGATTTTATTTATTTGACAGAACATGAGCAGTGGGGCAGAGGGAGGGATAAGCAGACTCCCTGCCAAGCAGAGAACTCAATGCGGAACTCAATCCCAGGTGCCCCTAAAAATGGTTTTTAAAAGAAAAATCCAGATGTAGAAGGGAGGCATGAACCTTAAAAATATAAGTGTTAAGAATACAATTAAGACCTCAGATATCTTCCAACTTTTTTTGTGTGTGTGTGGTAAAATACACATAACACAAAGTTTACCATCTTAACCGCTTTTTTTCCCATTAACCCCTTTTAAGTATACAGTTCATTGATATTAAGTATATTCACATTGTTGTACAACCATCACCACCATCCATCTGGAGAACACTTTTCATCTGGCAAAACTGAAGCTCTTTAATTCTTCCTACAGTAACTCCCTACTCCTCCTTCCCCCCCCAGGCCCTGGCAACCCCTATTCTACTTTCTATTTCGGTTATTCTACTTCACGTAAGTGGAATCATACAGTATTTGTCTTCTTGTGACTGGTTTATTTCACTTAGCATACTATTCTCAAGGTTCACTCAGTAGCATATTGCAGAATTTCTTTCCTTTTTAAGGCTGAATAATATTCCATTGTGTGTATACCACATTTTGCTTATCTGTTTATCTGTTGGTGGACACGTCAATTGCTTCCATGTTTTAGCTTTTGTGAATAATGCTGCTATGAATATGGGTGTACAGATAATCTCTTTAAGACCCTGTTTTCAATTTTTTTTGAATATATACCTAGAAGTGGAATTGCTGCATTATAAGGTAATTATATTTTTAATAGTTTGAGGAACTGCCATATTATTTTCCATAGTGGCTGCATCATTTTTTACATTCCCACCAACAGCACACAAGTGTTCCAGTCTCCATATCTTCACCAACACTTGTTATTTTCTGTGGGGTTTTTTTGTTGTAAGTAGCTATCTAATAGACATGAGGTGGTATCTCATTGTAGTTTTTTGGGGTTTTTTTTAAGATTTTATTTGAGAGAGCATGAGTGGGGGTGGGTGGGAGAGGCAGAGGGAGAAGCGGACACCCCACTGAGCAGGGAACCCAACATGGGGCTAGATTCCAGGACCCTGAGATCATGACCTCAGCCAAAGGCAGATGCTTCACCAACTGAGCTACCCAGGTGCCCCTCATTGTATTTTTGATTTTGCATTTTGTAGTGATTAGCGATGTTGAATCTTTTCATGTGCTTATTGGTCATTTGTGTATCTTCTTTGAATAAATGTCTATTCAGGTCCTTTGCCCATCTTTTAATTGAGTTTTTTGTTGTTGTTGAGTTTTAGAAGTTCTCTGTATATTTGGGATATTGATTCCTTATCAGATATGTGATTTGCAAATATTTTCATTTTGTAAGTTTACTCTGCTGATAATGTCTTTTGATGCACCAAGTTTTAAATTTTTCACAAAGCCTAATTTGTTTTTCTTTGTGGCTTTCGATGTCCTATCCAAATAATCATTTCAAATCCAGTGCTGGGAAGCTTTTCCCCTCTTTTCTTTTCAATTTTATAGTTTCAGGTCTTACATTTAGGTCCTGGATCCATTTTGAGTTAATTTTTGCATATGGTGTTATGTAAGTGTCCAATTTCATTCTTTTGCATGTGATATCCAGGTTTTCCAGCATTTGTTGGAGACTCTTTTCCCTAGTGAATGGTCTTGACACCCTTGTCAGAAGTCATTTGGTTATATGTGCAAGGGTTTATTTCTGGATTCTGCTCAATTCTGTCCATGTCTGTCTTTCTGCCACTACCACACTGTTTTGATTACTGTTGCCTCTTAATAAGTTTTAAAATCAGGAGGAGTGAGTCTTCAGCTTTGTTCTTGTTTTTCAGGATTGTTTTGGCTCTTCAGGGTCCCTTGAGATTCTGTATGAATTTTAGGATGGGTTTTTCTATTTTGCAAAAAATACTGGGATTTTGATAGGGATTGTATTAAATCCGTAGCTTGCTTTGGGTAATATTGACAACAACAATAAATCTTTCAATCCATGAACAGAGGATGTCTGTGTTTATGTCTTCTTTAGTTTCTTTTAGCAGTATTTCATAATTTTCATTGTATAAGTCTTTCACCTCCTTGGTTAAGTTAATTCCTAAGTTTGGTGGGTTTTGTTTTTTTAATACATGCAGCTGTCCATTTTTAAATTTTTTTTAAAGTTCATTTTTTAGTAATCTCTACACCCAATGTGTAGAGCTAACGACCCTGGGGTCAAGAGTCGTATGCTCTACCAATTGAGCCAGCCAGTGCCCCTGGGGTTCTTTTTAATGGTATTTAATTTTAATTTTAATGGTATTAATTTTAATTTTAATGGTATTTTTTTAATGGAATTGGTATTGTAATCTCCTTTTTGTATTGTTCATTATTAGTCTTGCAGCATTTTGAGTTAAAAATTATCAGCTGTAGGGCTTGAATATAAGATTCTCCTCAAGGGACGCCTGGGTGGCTCAGTTGTTAAGCGTCTGCCTTCGGCTCAGGTCATGATCCCAGGGTCCTGGGATCGAGCCCCACATCGGGCTCCCCACTCCGCGGGAAGCCTGCTTCTCCCTCTCCCACTCCCCCTGCTTGTGTTCCCTCTCTCACTGTGTCTCTCTCTGTCAAATAAATAAATAAAATCTTTAAAAAAAAAAATGTTTAAAAGATTCTCCTCAAAAGAGAAAGTACATTGCATTGTAGTCTGAAAATTGGAAGGAAGGGATTTGGCGTTTGAGCAAGATCCTGCTTATTCTTTGTGTTATAGGGCAGATCCTTTATCCAAGCAGCATTTTCTTTTCTTTTTTTTAAGATTTTAATTATATGACAGAGCGACACAGCAAGAGAGGAAATACAAGCAGGGGTAGTGGGAGAGGGAGAAGCAGGCTTCCCACTGAGCAGGGAGACCAACGTGGGACTTGATCCTAGGATACTGGGATCATTACCTGAGCCAAAGGCAGACGCTTAACAACTAAGCCACCCAGGCGCCCCCGAGCAGCATTTTCTTAAACTACTCACTAATCAGTCACAATGGAGAAACAAACTGGAGTCCTTCCAGCAAGATCTCATGCCGTGTGTTTCCTGTGTCAGGTGGTTTCATTGTGCTCTGTGCACACAAGCTTTTCTGAGTTTTTTAAGTCCAAAATGGAATTCCATGCATACATATTTTTGGAAAATCAGGCCAATTGGAAATGCCAGAGAAGAAAGCAGATTATTAATCAAGGCTTAAAGTGGGTACATGCCCTTTCATTCAAAGATCGGTTTTATTTCTGAGCCCTTGGTTGTAGAATGAAAGGAAACCAAATTCCATTAGATTGTATTTACCTGAAAGTAAAAAATGAGTGGTGGAGAATACTTAATTGTGTTTGTTGGAAAGCATTGCCTTCATGTCTTTACAGAATATAAAAGCCTTCATTTGTATCAAATACCCATAAATAGCTTTTGGACAAGCAACCTTGCCTTTTGCCTTTGTATGTTTGGTCAAATTTCTCCCTGTATTGCTTTTTTGAGAACTTTTTTTTTTTAATGAACTGTTGAGAGCAACAACCAGCTCCAAGACTCCTGCTCTTTAAGCAGTTTGAATAAGAACAAATAGGACTATATCTTTTTTTAATTAAGATTTTATTTATTTATTTGAGAGAGCAAGCACGAGGAGGGGACAGAGGGAGAGGGACAAGCAGACTCCCCACTGAGCAGGGAGCTGGACGGACACAGGGCTCGATCCCAGGACTCGAGATCATGACCTGAGTCAAAGTCGGACACTTAACCAACGGTTGAGCCACCCAGGTGCCCCAGGAATGTTTTTTTGGTCAACTAGGTTGGTGCAGAACTGAGTTTGGGAGGCAGGAGGGACAAAGCTGTGAGGTTCTTTGCAACTGATGATTAAACAGTCAGAGGGCAAGTTACTTGCTCCCTCAAAACAGCATTATTTGTTGTCCTTGCCCCTTCCTTTGCTATGCTTTGGTAAGTGGGACTCAA